CAAACTTCAGATAAGGACCAGCAATACTCCACGGTAAGCACAGTCTAGCCACTTGCAGGTGGCTGGAATGCAGAAGGCTCCCAGCTCAGAGTGCAGAAAGCCCCGGGGAGTGCTCAGGACAAACAGACTCACCTGCAAATAAGTCCTGATCATCTTGCTCTACGCGAACCCCATTTTCTTTGGAGCTGCTGCTCACAGGGAGAAGTGATTCCCTTTTCGGTGCCGGGGGCTTGCTCTGAAAAAGAATTTAAAGAGCACAAAGAGGTTATCTCCACTGAGGAACAGATGGTGGGGGGCCAAACAGCCCACCTTCCTGGCCACTGCCACACAGGGTCACCACTACAGACCCAGCAGGCTGCTTCCCTTCTGCAGTCCCAGCAGAGTACACATATCGCAACAGCTCACGATAGCCACAACAGGCCTGGCCATGCCATTTGTAGCCTCGTGCACAAGAACCACGTGGGGCTGAGCAGCCCTCTCAGGAAAACCAAGCTTTTGCTGCCAGTGGCAGAGACCCACAGCGATTTGCTTCCCAGCTCGTGCCCCCTCCGCCAGCCTGTGGCCAAGCAAACAGGGGCGCTCCCACCAGCCCCACGTTAGGTGCATCCAGGGAGCCATCTGGATCCTCTGCTCCTACAGGGGCTCTTCGAGCTGGGAAGAAGCTCTCTGTGACAGGGTGAGGCAGGCACCGGTTTCCCTACCAGCCTTGCAGCTCTCAAAGATGGAAAGTTTCTAGGAACAAGAAAGTATCACGCCCTGTTCCACTTCTCCATCTGTTACCACGGAAGTTCAGAGCTGCAGCCTCTTTCAGAGCAGCCCATGACACAACGCCCACCACATCCGAGGCCCGACAGAGCGCACCCCTTCACCCCCCCGAGGCTCCCTGATATAAGCCTGATGCTTCCCACAGGGAAGCAGATCTCAGAGCTGACCACTCAAAGCCATCCCTAGAGAACCGTGGCCAGCAGGGATTGAAGCTGCACAAACAGATAAGTTCCAGCTTTGGTTATAAATACGCTGGCCCCAAACATTTTCTCACTGCCACCCCAACGCCCACAGCTCTGCCTCGCCAGCAGCTCCCCTGCTGCACAGGGAGTGTTTTGCTAACACTCAAGGGCAGCGAGACAAGCAAAGCCACCAGGGCACGCAAAAGAGCCAAGTATTAATTATGACAGTTGCTTCAACAACAACATTAAGCACTTGATAAGCTGCTTTAGCTTAACAGACTTCAGATTCTGCTACAGGCCACCTGATCTGCACAAAAGCCTGTAGTGGTCGACACTCATCTGCTTTAGCAGGCTGCCCCCACCACAAAGCAACGAGCCACAAACATTTTCATTTCTTCAGCAAAGAACAGTCCTGAGAAGCTCCAGACCATCACCACGTCCTGGTGCTGGCAAGAGGTCCCAGCATTTTTGGACACCTGCTGTCAAGTCAGGACCGTGCTTTCCCATGTTACTTTCAAAACACGGGACTGCTCTGTTCTGCCCAGACCAAATGATAAGTTTCACCCTCGCAAGCAGACACGGGGCAGTGTGTGGATAGCAGTCATGTCCCAGACTGCCCTCATCTCTGGTGCAAGGCCACCAGCAGTGACACGCAGCTCCGTTCCCTGGTGATGGACAGCTCTGTGTCTTTGGGCCAGCTCAAAGGAGGGCGAGAGCTGCACCCTGGGCAAATCCATGGGCTGGGAAACTGATAATGGGTGATGTTGGATGGTTCCTGCCTTGCTTGCTGGAAAAGCCCTGAGTGCAGCACACAAACCACAGTGTCGGTGATCACAGGGGACGACACGCTCAGCCTCGGCTCGCAGGGCTGAAGAAACCAGTCCCAGCACCTGTCAGAGGAGCTGGCTCCCGGCTGCCTTTAGCTGATGCCGCCACTCAGCGCAGCCTCCGAACCCCAGAACCGGCGGCTGGGTGCTGGGGGGCGGCTGCCTTGAGCCCCAGCCCCAGCCCCAGCCCAGCCCCCAAGGCCTGGGCCCGAGCTGCCTCCCCCAGCCCCAGCGGCGGGGCCTCCGCCAGGCCCCAGGGGCCCGCCCCCCTCCCGTCCCAGCCCCGCACTCACGGTGCCGGCGAAGATGTCCTCGCCCTCCGTGTCGCTGTCGGCGGCCTCGCCGTCGCCGTGGGGCGGGGGGAAGGGCGGGGGCAGGTGCGGCCCGGGGGAGGGGGAGCGGGAGCCGCCGGCGCCGCCCGACGCCATCTCCGCGCCGCCGCTTCCGCCCTGCCACAGCCGGGACCGGAAGCCGCCGCCGCCACTTAAACCGCGAGGGCGGGGCTTAGGGGCGGGCGGGGCTCCGCGATTGGGCGAAGCCTGCCTCTCAGCCACCAGGGGGAGCCAATGAGCGCCGCTGCTCGGCATCGGGAGGTACCATTGCACGGGCGGCGGGGGGGGGGGAGGGAAGAGGGGAAGCGCCCCCCCTCCCCAACAGGGGTGGACGAGCCCCTAGCTGAGGGGGAGCCCCTGGGGCTGGGGGGAAAATGGCGAAAATGGGGGGAAAATGGGGGCACAGCACACACAGGGCAAAGCTCTCAGCTTACTAAACCTTGTGCCTTTGAGTATTTGGTGTCAGACGTGACTGCAAGTGGCCCCTGTCCCTCTTTTCTCCTCTGTCCCTGCTGAGAGGAATGTGAGGGGCTGCGCCCGGCTCCTCTGTGGAACAAAACATAACAAACAGCAGCTGTCCTTATCTCACAGGCCTCGCTGCTGTCCTCCTGCCTGCCTGCAAAGCCGTAAAAATGATACAGAGACAGCACCAGAGCGTTAGAGCTGATGCTTTCCCACACGGGTTCACCTTACAAGTTTTATATCCTGAGTGTCTGACCTGGCCCTTTTTCCCATGCCCTGACACCAACCTACCAAGCGTCACCCTCTTGAAGTGACAGCTCAGACAGCTCAGGTGGTGGCTGTTCAGCAGAGCACACATTTGGAGGTTAAATGCTTCATTCTCATTTGACACTGCCTTATTTCTGAGGCTGTACATTACAGAGCTCAATATGATGGTCACCATCCACACAGAATCACAGAATCACAGAATTTCTAGGTTGGAAGAGACCTCAAGATCATCAAGTCCAACCTCTAACCTAACACTAACAGTCCCCACTAAACCATATCCCTAAGCTCTACATCTAAACGTCTTTTGAAGACTTCCAGGGATGGTGACTCCACCACCTCCCTGGGCAGCCCGTTCCAGTGTCTAACAACCCTTTCAGTAAAGAAGCTCTTCCTAACATCTAACCTAAAACTCCCCTGGTGCAACTTTAGCCCATTCCCCCTCGTCCTGTCACCAGGCACGTGGGAGAACAGACCAACCCCCACCTCACTACAGCCTCCTTTAAGGTACCTGTAGAGAGCGATAAGGTCGCCCCTGAGCCTCCTCTTCTCCAGGCTGAACAAGCCCAGCTCCTTCAGCCACTCCTCGTAGGACTTGTTCTCCAGGCCCCTCACCAGCTTCGTCGAGGAGATCAGCGTGAAGGAATAGATTAATCTACTCTAATTTACATAGGATTGGAGCTTGGAATACATACCATTGTTATTAGCCAAAGGATAAGATGACTTTCTGGTGTGAAAATCTCTTTTGAATATACAGGAGGCTTTGGGGGGGGGTCAAGTTTAGACCTCTCCATGCCATAGACATCCCCAACCAGATGCTTAAACATATGTGTCCTAAAACACTTTGGGTGCCCCCTTTGCCCAGGAAGAGCACATCTCCCACAGGATTAGGAGAAATCCCACTGTACAGCTGGAAGCCAGGCAGGAAGCACAAAAATTTCTACACTAAGACCAAACATTATGGCTAGGCACCCTCTCTTGCCTAAATGAGGACCTGAGGATAAGCTTGTAGCAGCATTCTGGTTAGCTTCTGGGGGCTGAAGCTGCCGATCAGCAAGGATCAGACAAGAGCTGTATCCGTATATATAAAGTAAGCAAGCTTTATTATGAGCTATTTACATACATACCAGCCCCAGGGTGGTGACAAGAGCACCAACGAGTACAGTGCTTTTCCCAGTCATCGGTGTCCACCACCGTGAGACCCAATAGTCCATACTCAGGCAGGTTGTGGTCGGTGTCCTGCCAGTGCAATAGGCATCCATGTCTTGTGGGTGCCCCCGCAGAGGCAACATTGACCTCAGTTGATGTTCCTGCCTCACAGGACACAGAGCACTTTGCTGTTTGTACTCCTGCATGTTCCCAGACCCAGAGCGATTGGCAGCCCCGGCCCCAGGGAGCACCCAGCAGCCCCTGACAGGTTACTGCAATTATGCACAGCACGAGGGGCCAGCGCATGCATTCCTGATGGCAGCATTTTTTTTCCATGCCAGATGAGTTATGGCCTGGCACCATATCTGCTGAACAAACAATATGCGTTATCACAAGGGCAGAGTTCCACCTTGTTCGTGTCACAACAGCACGACAGGGCTTTCCACAGAGCGTTTGTCTTACCCTGCTTCTGTTTCACACTGGGCCAACCTAACAGGGTTTTTAGTCCTAACACAAGCAGTCGTGGTCTATTAAGGTATCTCAAGGAAGAAATGGTAACTTCAAGGTGTCCTGTCATGACCATGTCTCTACATGTCTTAAACTAAGACCTCAGCAGAAAGAGGTTCTTTGCCCCTAGCCATGTGTTCAGACCCCCATCCTCTGTGCACACACAGATGCCCTCTATGTCCCCTCCTGTGCGCACAGACCTTTCCTTTCCCCTTATACACACTCATCTGACATTGACCTCTATGCAAGCTCTGACCACAACCTCTCCCCTGCTGATGGGCTTTTTTCCCCCCTCCTCTGTTCCCCATCAGGTCCATTTTCATCAACACCTTTTCCTCCATCCCCCTATATCCTCTTACTGGGTCCTCTGGGCCTTTCTTTTGCTGTCTTTTCTGCCCTTTTGGATCCCCCTCCATCCCCAACCAGGGGGTCTCAGGGCCCATGTCCCAGTGATGCCTCTATCAGAGCCTGGGGACTCAGGCACAGCAGTGGCTGCCCACAGGAGCCACAGGCGCTTGTTAATCACCTCTTTATTTTATTCCAAGTGCTGTACAGAAATTCCCCCCAAAAGTGCTCTCAGTGACCCTGTGCAGACCGGCCTCAGCACCCGCCACAGGCTGCTGCGTGGCGCGAGGCCGAAATAAGTTACCCGCGTTCCCTTCCAGTGCATCATGGCTCACCCAAAGTGCCCCACACCCAAGTTGTGGTTGCTTCAAAACTCAAAGTCCTTTTATCAGGCCCTGCCCCACTCTCGGGGCTTAGCACGGCATGGCAGCCTCCGACGGCAGCGGGGAGCACCTGTGGGGAAGCAAGGTTGGAACATCACGCTTGTCACACCACCGTGGGGGCAAACTGGTCAACGTGGGCTTGTGTCCACAACAGAGGTTTGTAGACTCATGTCCAACAGGGCAGAGAGAGCCACCAGCACCACCCATCGCTCCTCTCCATGGTCCCCCCCCACCAGATCCCCTCTCTCCATCCAAGAGAGGTGGCTACACACAGTGCTAGGTGGTCCAGGTGGTACTCACTCCATCTTGGCCTCCAGGTGGTGGACAGTCTGCTTGTCCAGGTAGCGGCAGAAGAGGGAGAGGAGGTTGCTGGGCAAGAAGAGTGGCTCTACCAATGAGGCCTTGGGCACTTGTGACAGCTCCCGAGCGACCAGGAACACTGTGTCTGTCCTGGAGGCACCAAGGGGACAGTGAGTGCCCTGTTGGGCAGCCAACCCCAACCCTACTCACGTGGCCCCATGCCCTCACCATGTCTCGAAGTCCCTGCCGTGTGGCTCCAGTGGTGTCTCAGAAGACAGCAGCCCCTCACCACGGCTCAGCAGGGAGTAGAGCAAGGTGATGCCAAACTGCAGAGAAGCAGCAGGAGGAGCACCATGGCTGTGTGTCCATCCATGATGGGCACATGCTGGGGATGTCCAACATACCTGGTTCTTCAGGGCCATAGCCAGCGGAAACTCATCAGACTCAGGCAGGGGCCTGGTAATCTCCTGCAGGACCTGGATCAGCCTGCTGAAGGTCATCCTGCCCACCACCTCATTCAAAGGGCTGTAGAGCAGGGGAAGAGACTGGGCAGGGCAGAGGGGAGAGCAGGGATCTGAGACCGCTCAACCCACCACGGACACAGCCCCATCTCCACCCCACACCTTCAGGGTTTCGGGATGATGCAGGGGACAATGCTGCATATCCCAGGAGCATACAGCCACCAGGACTGCTTTAATTCCTCCTGGAGACCTTTCTCCTCCTCCCCACAAGGGCAGAAGCAAAGCCCTGCACCTGCCCTTCACAGCAGCCTCTTCCCATGCCGACCCCACCATCCACCCAGCCTTGCTGGGACCCATCAGGATGGCTGCCCACAGGCAGGGTGACAGGGAAGGGATGCAGCCCAGTAACCCCCTGCCCCAGCTGGAGGTGCTCGCCTCATCCAATGCATCTTTCTTCATGAGGAAGGGCAGGTGGTGGGTGATGGTCAGCAGGATCTTCTCTGCTTGCTCTGAGGCCAGGTGGGGCAGCAGCCGCGCCGTGAGCTTCTTGCCTTTCCGCACACACAGGACCTGCAGGAACTCATCCTCTGCCTCCCTGGGGACAAAGGCTCTGTTGGCACGGACTCTGAGGGACCTGAAGCCCCTCTGCCCATCTGGGTGAGGAACCAGCATCACCTCCCTCGCTCCTGCATAGCTCCAGTGGAGGACAAGAGTTGCATGTAGGCATCACTACAAATTATGGTGACACACTGGAGGATGAGAGCCCATCACCTAATGACTGGGAACTCAGCTAGGACCAGGACACACTGCCCACCCCCACCTCACCACAGCCCAAACTCACTCCTCACTGCTGCAGGCTCTGATTTTCAGGGCCTGGTAGATACGCCCCGCTTCCTGGGTCTTCTGCTCCTGCTCCTCTGGGGCCAGGGACACCTTCCGCTGCATCTCCTCCACCTCCAGCAGCTGCAGGAAGAGCTGGAGGAATAACGTGGGATAAGGCAGTGGCTTGGAACATCAGACCTTCCCCACAGAGCTCCTTGGACGAGATCCAAGCCCCTGCTCCATCAGTACCGTGCCCCAAAATCAGGGCCCTGGCCACTCACCCTCTCGATCCTGTGCAGCGCTCGAAGCCGGTGGCTCCCCGCAGCCTTCAGGAGGGGAGAAAGGAAGGCAGAGTTACAGCCAGCACCAGACACCGCCGCCGGCAGAGCACTGGGCCAGCTGCTCCCTGGGGATCAAAGTGACTTCAGGACAAAGACCAACCCCACACAGGAAGCCACGGCCACCGCCGGCTGCCCCATCCCACTCTGCTGATGCCACCAAGGTGTCACCCAACCCATACCCAGAGCCAAGCAACACCCACGCTGCAGCTCCTTATTGCTCCTGCTAAATCTGCTCCAAGACCTTGAAGCAGGCTTGGAGCCCGGTGTCCCCTCACCTACCTCCTCCACCAGGGCATGGTGCACGGCATCAATGGCTCGGCGGGGGCTGTAGCAGGTGGACACAGCGACCTGGCCCAGTGAGCCAGCGATGCGCACCACTGGAAGAGAGCGGGGGGCACGGTGAGAGCGTGCCCCACACCTCGCACCCCACCCCAGGCCACCACCACGGCCCCTCACCAGAGTTGTAGGTCTCTACTTTCTGGATGAAGGGCGTCACCAGCTTGGGGGGCTCCTGCTTGTTACGCCCACCCGTGAGCTCCTCTTCTGCCTGCTTGCGCTCCAGCCGATGGTAGTAGGTCTGCGTGGGAGCCAGGAGGGCAGCTTGGGACCATCCAAGCCCTTTTGCCCCCCGTGCCAAGCCCATTTCTGGATGGGGCTCAGCACCCCAGCTCCCTCCAGCTCCCCAAGGTGGGAAGCCACAGCCCCAAGGAGCTGGGTGACCCACAGGACCTATGGTAGAGGCTCACCTGGTAGTAGTAGTCATCATCCATGTTCTCACTCTGCAGCTGGATCATCTCCACCTTGACGACCCAGTCCTTTTCCTTGCAGGTCATCAGCCCAGCGTAAGGGTCAGCTTTAGGGGACCACAGCTTCTTAGGGGAGACACTGTCATGGGGGAGACCACAGCCTGCCGTAAGCACCCAGAGCCCCCTCGGGGCACTCCCAAGACCCCCGGGCCCTCCGTACCTCTGCACCGTGCCGCCTTGCTGCTGCCGCTGGGTCAGGATACGCTGGTGCTGGGGGTGCAGCTGGGTGAGGTGGCTGGGCATGCTGCAAAGGGGGACAGCGAGGGCTGCAGACACTGCGGTGGCTCCAGAGCATCCCCTAGAACACCCCCTGGTCTGCTCAGAGCATGGTGCCACAAGGGCCACCACCTCCTTTGGTTTGCTGTGGTGGGCAGCGACGTGCCCATCGTGCTCCCGTCCATCCTGACCTCACTCAGACCAAAAACCTCTTTGCCAGCACAACCAGGGCTCAGCACCCACGCTCAAGCCATCCCCATGGAGCCACCAGCTTCTTTAGGGGGCCGCAGCACCCCTCCCCTGTGCACAGCATCAAAACCCCACTCGCCGTGCCTTCTACCTGAAGTTGAACTGGCTGCTGGCCGAGGGGCTGAAGAAGGGAGAGGGGTCCAGAGAAGGAGACATGGGGCCGAAGTGCATGGCGAGGGGCCGCGGTGGGGTGCCCACGTTGGGCGACAAGGGGCCTGAAACGGGTCGGAGGTGCATACCCCGTGGACTGCAAAGGAAGGAAGAAGCAGTCAGGTGGCAGGACACCCTGCTGTCACCTCCGAGGGCTCCTGAGGCGATGGGCTGGTTCTGCCAACACCACGTCTCGTGCTCCCATCCCAGGCAAGGGTACCCTGGAGTCATGCTGCTGCCCAGCACGCCCCAGATCCATCAGCAGTGCTCCAACGTGCCACCAAGCACAAGGTCACACCCAGTGCAGGGACAGCAGGACAGATTTGTGAGGCTGTAGCTAACACCTTCCCCATCTCGTATGGAGAAGGGCACCCAGGATGAGACCAAGATGGAAATGCTGCTGCTCTGGGGAGGTGCTGAGCGGTGCTTGGAGGTGGCTCTTCCAGGCCACGGCACCATCTGTGGGGACAGTGGTGGCCTGCTGCGTTACCTGCTTGGAAGCAAAGGGAGAAGCTCTGCGGGCTGGTGGGAAGGGCCGAGGGGAGCACATGGAGCGCAGCATCAAAGGTGGCTGCTGCAGGGACAAGCAGGCATTACTAGGACCAGCTGGGCACCAGGAATGTGGTCACAGCCATGAATCCCAGCCTGATGGTGGGTTTCATAGGAAGGACAGAGGCATTGCAGAGCTGGGGACAGCTTCTGGAGCAGAGGGCAGAGGAAGGGATGAGCAAGACACCCTGAGAGCCCGTACCTGCCGCAGGAAGCGCTGGGAGAAGGACTTGGGGGATGTCCCTCTGAAGTCAGGGCGCTTGAGCCGGGGAGAGCCTGCATACCCCCTCTGCACAGGGGAGCTGAGGAAGTCGAGGGCCACGTTGGCAGCAGGAGGGGGCGTCTCCAGGACCTGCAGGATGGCTTTGTCCTGTGGGAAGAGGTGGCAGGAGGTGGGAATGCAGCCCTGTCCACATGCCACAACCGGGGATGCGTGGGGATACCCCTGGGACCCACCTCCAGCACGGGGTGGGGTGGGATGCTGCTGGGGCAGGAGCCCCACACCATGGGCTCCATGGCCAGCTGGAAGACAGAGAGAGGTCAGCATGGGGAGGAGAGGGGCAGGGGACACTCAGACCCCGTCACCAAGGAGGAGGGAACATTTTTACCATGTCCTCTTTGCCAAATTCTGCCCAGACAGAGCCAATCCTGCTGTCCAGCACTGCTGAGTCCTGGCTCTGGGAGCAAAGAGGACAGTTAGTGGCACACACTTGGCCACAGCACCACGGACCTGCCCTTGTCCCTCCCAGAACCACTCCTCGCCCTCTGTAGGGCACAACCCACGGTGTGTGGATGGAGGGACAAGCAGCAGGTCCATGGCAGTATCTCTGCTTGGACACTGGGGGCTCAGCTGCCGGGTCCCCCTCCCACCGCACTCAGGCATCACCTCCAGCGTGGGCTTGCTCTGCACAGCTCTCATCACCGCTGGGTCTCCCAGGTTGTTGGGCTCATCCTCATGCTCTTCCTCAGCCCCCAGCTGTTCTTCTTCCTCCTCAGAGCCCACCTGCTCAGCATCAGGCTCCATCCCACCTTCACCCTGAGGCTCTCCCTGCTCCTCTGGTGGTTGCTGCCCCTCATCTGCTTGGGGCTCCTCCTCGGTCTCCATGAGCTCAGGGCTCCTCTCCAAAGGCACTGGGGTTTTCACAGCATCCTCCTCAGTGGAGTCACGGTCTTGCAAGGGAAAGCAGAGTGCGTTGGGGGTAAATAAGTGCCCAGGAAAATGCCCCCAGGCTCCCTGCCTGAGCTCTTTGTTAGGCATAAGGACACATCCCACCTGGGGAACACCTTCCTCACCCCCAGCCTCCATCCTCATCCCACCAGGTGCTGGCTGGTCAGCCCAAGTCTGGGGCTCCCCTTAACCTTACCCAACCCAAATGTCATCTCATTGTACAGGTCAAGCTCCTCATCCTCCTCGGCCATCTCCTCCAGCAGAGGCACATCTTCCACTAGCAGGTAGTCCTCAAGGATCTGGGGGGCGAGAAGGCAAAAGCAGCATGGGCACCAGCGAAGGAGACAGATGGGGGAAGAAGAAACCCTTAACAGGGCGGCACCCAACCCTTCCTGGGAGCTAACCCCACAGCTGCCCCACAGCTGGAAGAGACGAGCAGGAGCAACCCCCAGGCACCAGCACCTGCCCCTGGTGGCTCCCAGGGACCACCCCTGACCCCTGTGGGACCCTCCCAGCTCAGCAGGGACCGAACACCCGCAGCAGCAGGCGGGGAGCACCGCGAGGAGCTCGGTGCGGAGCCGCAGCACTCCCCACGTGCCACCATTAGGCTTCAGAGTGAACACCCTGCCGGGACGGGGCAGGGCAAGGCAGGACAAGGCAGGGCCGGGCAGGACGGGGCAGGGCGGGCACTCACAACCCTCTGGCCGCCCTCCGCCATGCCGCGGCGCCGCCCTCCCCCGCCTCCCTCTACGGGGCCGCGCTGCCCCCGCCGCCGCCTTTTACCGGCCGCCGGCAGCGCGCATGCGCGGCCGCCACGCCACGCCCCCCCTCGGATAGGCCACGCCCCCGCTGCCCCGTTAGGGCGGTGGAAACGAAAGTGAAAGCGAAAGCCGCGCACTGCGCACGCGCAACGCGCCCTCTGCCCGCTCTCTCCAACCTTTTCGCTGCCTGTTTGCCCGGATACAAGTGACGCGGCGGGGAAGTCGCCTCGCTATTGGCTGCGCGCCGCGGCGGTGATAAATAGGAGCGGGGAGCGCGCGGGAGGGGCCACTCGGCGAGGGGAGCGGAGCGGAGCAGAGCGGGAGGCATGGGGCTGGCGGCCAAGGCGGCGATCGTGGCCCTGGTGGCGCTGGTGGCGCTGCTCGGCCAGGGGCAGGCCAAAGGTGAGTGCTTGGAGCTGCGGGGGGCGCGGTGGCGGGGCTGTCCCCGGTGGTCCCGGTGGTCCCGGCGCTCAGCGCTGCCTCGCCCCTCGCAGCGGCCCCCAAGGTGCAGGTGTACTCCCGGCACCCCGCCACCGCCGGCACCGAGAACATCCTCAACTGCTACGTGGAGGGCTTCCATCCCCCCAAGATCGACATCGCCCTGCTGAAGAATGGGGAGCCCATGAAGGACGTCAAGTACAACGACATGTCCTTCGGGGACGACTGGACCTTCCAGCGCCTGGTGTACGCCCCCTTCACGCCCACCAAGAGCGACTGTCTACACCTGCAGGGTCGACCACGAGGCCTTCACGGAGCCGCAGTCCTTCAGATGGGGTATGGTTTCCTCTCCGTGTGTCGCTGTTCGCATCCAGAAGCCTCGCTGATTTCGGGCTCAGCCTCTCTAGAAACAGGGTGCTGTCATGGGGTGTGTTTTGAAGGCTTTGTTCTAGGCGTACGTGAGCACCAACAAAAGTAACTTGGTTTGAAAAGACTGTGCCAAACCCGTGCGAGAGTTAGCTCGCAGCAGATAGGAAAGGTTTGCTTTGGCATTGCCAAATGTCCTGTAGGTAGTTGTCCCCTGCCTTCCTGGCCTGCCTATGCTGGGCCTGACAACTGTTAATAGAGCTCTCTGGGTGGATTTATCCAAAAAAAGATGGGTGATGCAATGATTTTTGGCTTTAATCTAGTGGTAAAGACTGATGCTTACTGTTTAGATCACGCTTACTGAAATTCCTGTCTTCCCCTTGTGTGCCTTGGCTCCCAAGCCGAGACTGCTGGTGCTCCTCTTAATGCTGATGGCAGCATGTGAGCATGAAGTTCTGGTCTGAGGGCAGCTGGGCATCTCCTGAGGCAAACCAGGATCTTTCCAGCCCTTGGTTGTTGGGTGAAGCCTTCTAAGTGTAAAGCACGATGCTTGGGGTGAACATAAAGAAGAATGCAGCAGTGGGGAGTGATTTTTTGGTGATCTGGTCTGTGCTTAGTGGCAGGAAGCACAAAGCCGAGCAAGGGCAGTTCTCTGAGGCTGTTCCCCACAAGGGTGGGCCCTATAGTGACTACTGTTTGCTCTGAAGACTAATGCTGTGTCTTTCTTTCTTGTAGAGCCAGACTTCTAAGATGTGCCAGGGATAATCATGGTGAGTTACACTCGTATTTTGTGTGCCGGTGGTAAAGGGAACATGGACTGCTCTCTGTGGAGGGAAGTACGTAGCTTGCAGAGTTGAGGAACAAAAGGAGTGACCACAAAAACCCCATCGTGTTGCCACTGAATGGGGGCTGAGCTGTTCTGAAGCTCTTGCTATTTACTAAATATGGCTAATCCTGCACTGGGCATAGGGTGGTATTTTGGTAACTTGTGATGTGCGAGGCACAGATCATCGGTGTAAACAGCTAGATTAACTCTTGATAGAGAAAATTGAGGATGTGTGGCTGAAAGACCTGAAACTGAAACTCCTCTGAGTACTCCAGCTGAGGCTGGGTAATTATTGACATTGTGCAGGATAAGCCTTTGCCAGGCCTTACAGGAATTACCCCCCTCCCCGTTGTTTCAGAAAGTGTTAACAAGGCTTTTAGACTGAGACTGAGTCATGAGTCACATGGACTTTGGAAAAACCCTGGGGCATTGCTTCTTAAGATGTAGAAGGATCAGAGTCCTTTCCTTGCCGCTGTTTTCTCTAAAGGTCTCTCCAACAAAGGCTGGGAGGGGTGTTGGTCTTCAGGGACAGGAGAAAACTGGAGGTGAGGTCACCAGCTTCCTGGGATGAGGAACAGGATATACTCTTAATTAGCAGCAGAAATGTGTGTGGTACTGAGGGATGGGGAAAGGCTCAGGAAATTCACCCAGAGTGGAAAATGGTTGGATTGGAAGAATATTTAGAAGGGATGCCACAAGTGGTTAGATATTTTATTGTAGCTGCTGTTTGGGACATGTTGCTGAGGTAAATGGGCCTGTGATTTGATGCAGTACAGGACAATTCTGGGTTACAGAGCTCAGAAAACTGATATGGCACCTCTGCCACTTTCCTGGGGATGGAAACCCAGCCCTAGAGCTGGGCCTGGGGTGTGCCATGCCCCAGTGGTTTTGGTGGGATGTCTGCATGGAGGTCTCTGATAGTGAGGGATGCCAAGCTTGGTTGGTCTGGGACTGTAGGGCAGGGACAGTCCTGACTTTGCTGGAGTCTGGGGGTAAGGATTTGCAGAGCTGGGTTAGAGGAGCTGAGAGCAGGATAAAGCAAGAACGTCTGTGCAGGCATTGTTTAGGCTGCAGAGCACTGATGGTCTTAACAGGGGATTGCTTGTTGAAGTCTGAAACCCCTGGGCAGAAGGGACTGAAAGTGATTTCTGCAGTGCTCAACGGTGGGTCTGTGTGCCTGTAGCTGGGACTCTGCAGTCAGAATTCCCTTGTGGAGAGCTCTTCCTAAACAATAATTACAACTGAAGCTATGCAGAGTGACTGATGTTAGTCTTCTCTCTCCCATGCAGATCTGAAGAATTTTTCCCTGCAAGCCTAAATGAATTTGAGCTTCTGTCCTTTCTACATATGGAAAAGAGCAATTGTCTTCATCATGAAATTCCTTCTCTTCACAATGCTAGGGGTCGCCTACAGTTAACAGTGGTTGTCTGAACTCGGGTTCCTGGCCTCCTTCACCATGAAATTAAAATACTGAGGAATTTGGCATCAGAGGAAAAGTGGGCTGGGAAGGGCCTGAACACTGCGGCACGTGGCAGATGTTCTGCAAGCGCAGTCATGCTGTGCTGTTGAACCATCCCTGACCTGGTGGTTAGGATGGAGATGCAAAGTGAGCTGATCTGGGGGGGGAAGGAGGGGGGAATTCTGAAAATTTGGCTGTGTACCAGGAGATTTGTAATGCAAATTTACACCTTCAAAACGTGTGCGTAACTACCCCCCCCCCCCATAATATAATTAAAAAAAACATCCTCTAACATCTGCTCTCTGTAAGCATGTCTGGCTGTAGCGACAACTGGTTGATTTTGTAGAATCATTATTAAACAACTATTATTACAGCTTATCATCAAAATAACCTTCACCCCAAACTAGTATGCTAACTAGACTTTTCTGAGCACATAAGTGTAAGTGTCTGCATTACCCATTAGAAAATTGTAGCTCTTTAGTGGTCTTCAGTGTACCTAATTTTTATCTAAATACAATCAGAAATCTTAAAAGGAGTCTGTCTTTCTGAAGTATATGTGTCTTTAAAGTATCTCTCCAGAGTCCTGTACCAGCCTGAACCAATTTTTTGGACTCTGCTGGGTTGTGGGCTGATCCAGAGTATGGTGGAGCTGCACTTGGCTGCACTTTTTTCCCCCACTGAGAAGGTGCAGGCACACTTTTCTTTTGGAGGGGAGCCACTTAGTCCCTCAAAAGGGAAAAAAATAACAAACGAAAGCAGGACATCTGGCTAATGCTTTTCAGGGCATGTGCTGTCAAAGATGGACTGAGAGGAAGCAGGATGTATCAACTAGTTTCACTTCCTTTTTTTTTTTTCTTTTTTCTTTTTCTTTTTTTTTTTTAATTCTGCAAGGGGCAAGCTACAGCACATGGCCTCATGGGGGCTGTTCTGTCACACCTCAAGCTCAACAAGAATTTGATGGCATTACCCAAAATGGTGATACTGCAGGAGCTATGCTGCACAGCTGGGCAGCCTGCTTTAATTTTATGAAGCAGCTGTTGTGATTCCTTGGTCCTCCTAGATCAAGGAGGATCTGATTAGCGCAGAGCTCACACCTGAACAAGGATTCTTGGCTACCTGGTGTGTGTGGTTTATTGCACTTGCTCTCATGGGTGAAGATTCACTGAGGCTTGCATATGCCAAGGCATCACATACTGAAGGTTTACCTGATCTTGGCTTACTTCACAGCCTTTTCTGTTATATTTGCACTTTCTGTGATGAACACAGAGAATAGAACCTGCCATATTCAAACCTCTGGCTTTCTGCTTTGCTTGAAACTATGTTTTACTCAGACAGATTGTTCACTACAAGGGGCATGCTCTCCTAGCCTCGGATTGGAATCAGTCAGGAAATGCTAGCTGCCTGGGAATTTCTATCCAGCAGGAAAGGTGTGCAGGCGGGGCACTGGTCTTACCCAGGGCTCGCTGTCCATCTCCTTCCAGACCCTTTGTTCAACCCAACAGTCTCTCAGGTGAAGGAGGCAGATGGAGACCTTGGGGTCTCCACTGGGGTGTTGGTGGTGGGTTACATGTTCCCTATCCAGGAAAATCCTGTGTGAGTACAAAGATGGGTTCAGGACCTGGGAAGATGGGGGGGTTCTGAGGAGCTGTACTCTGCAGGAGCAAGGGGAACCCTCGGGAGCATTCAAACCAGGATGTCACACCTGGGTGGCTGTACAAAACACACGTCACCCAGCCTGGGACAACAGAGCTCGCCCAAGCCACTGCAGAGCTGAGCTTGCAAAGTCAACCATGCTCTGAAGATCATCCATCCCCACCAGTGGTAGAAGATGGTTTGGGAAGGAAGACAAGGTTGGGAATTCCCCTCCAGAGACCCCTGTGGAGCAGCACAGCCTGCTGCAAGAACCCAAGGTGGCTTGAGACACATAGATGGTGTTCTGGCCTCCTCTGATTCAGGGGGAGCCACCAGGTACCTGCCACCACCCTGGCTTCCCCTTTACTGGCTGCAACAGCATCACAGGGTGATGGCTGGGTGTCTTGCACCAACAGGAAAACCTCCTCCTAATTAAGAAACTGGCTCCACACAAGCTGAAAACGCTATGGCACAGGTGGTGCAAGAAGACCACATTGCTGAAGGAAACATCCAACAACATCATGCTGCACTAGGGAAGTCATTGCCCTGATTGCATCTGTGGGCTTTTTGTGGTATTACTTAGGAATTATTTTGTCAGCATACTCAAAAATCCCCTTTCTGGGGAGTATGACGCATGACAGTCCCAAAGGCTGGTGAATTTTGGGATCATTTCTAGAAAAAAGTTCTCTGTTTGAGGGGGGTCCAGCCGGGGGGGTGGGTGGTGGTCCAGAGATATCTGGGATGTACTTGCACTACTGCTGCAGTTTTTTCAGTGCAAGTTCCTAGGAGATGGAATTGTTGAGGGATATCTTGGCAAGTATGAAGCATGAAACAAGCCTCATTTGTGCTTTATGAATTACAAGCAGTTTTGCTGAAAGCAAGCTGTTTCCCAGATCAACCAAGTATGTGTTTTTAGAACGGGTTACTTCTTCAATGTCATGTCACCTTAGAGTCTCTGACACTTCACCATTTCCTGCATGACAGGGAGAAAAAAACAAAGGGCTCAGGTAAAAGAGGAGGGGAAAAATCTTTCAAAACACAGCTGAATATAGACGTCCTCCAGGAAAAGTGAAACACCAAACAGAAAAGTGAAAAACCAAACAGAAGAGATGCTGGTGCACCTCCAAATGCTTATCTTTACGTCTTCAGATTGTGTAAAAAAATGATGAAAAATGAGTATGAATCAAAGACCAAGGCTTTCTGCTTCACCTTTCACTATGTCTGATGCATCACTTGCCTGTTTGGGGCACATTCAGCTCTGTTCAGGTTTCCAGAGGTGTCACCAGCCGGGCTACGTCATGGAGCATTTCTGGAGGACATGCTGGTCAAGCCTTGTACATAAACCTACCTCAGCTGGTTAAAAAGTCCCACTTGACCCACCTGTGTGCCTAACTGAAACCACCCTGAGCTATTTTGGGGCTACAGAGGCACTCAGAGCCCTCAGCAGGTCCCTCCCTGCCTGACTCCCCTCAGCGTTTCCCGCCACCGCCATTGCCCCTCAGGCTCCTGCCTCAGGGCTTCTCCACCATGTTCCGGGGCCGCCGTGCCTGGTTCTCCCGCAGCGTCCAGCCCGGCCCTCAGCAGCTGTGGGGTGAGCCCTCAGTGGGGCAGGGACCCCCTCTGAGGAGCCCAGGATGGGTCACGAGGAGACCCATGGCTGTGGGGCCCATAATGGGGCCTGGTCTGGGACAGCCCGGGTGCACTGGGGTGTGAGGGGACATGTTTGGGGTGCAGTGATGTGTCAGGGTGTGGGGACAAGGGGTAGGTAGTGCCCCACTGGTGTGTGTGGGGACACGTTCGGGTGGTGGGGGGACGCACTGGGATGTGGGGACACATTGGGATGTTTTGGGGTGTGGGGACACATTGGGGTGTGTGGGGATACACTGAGGGTCTCGGGGCATGTTGGGGTGTGTGGGGGCTGTCTTGGGGTGCAGGGGGACACATTGGAGGGATGGGGGCACACTGAGGTATGGGGATGCAGTAGTTTGTTGGGGGGGGGGGCAACATGGTGGACAGGGCACACTGGGCTGTGGGTGAACACATTGGGGTATGTGGGGACATCTTGAAGGTGTGTGTGGACATGGAGTGTGTGGGGGGACACAGTGGGAGGTGTGTGGAAATGTGTTGGGGTGTGTGGAAATTCTTTGGTGTTGGGGGTGTGTATTTAATGCAATGTGGGGACAAATTGGGTTCTGACGATGTCTTGGGGTGTGTGGGCACACACTGGGTTGCCTCCTGTCATCCTCACCTCTGTTCTTCCTCCTGCAGTGGCTGGCGGGGGGCTGCTCACCCGCTGGCAGGATGCTGACTACCTCTTCAGCAGCGATGCCGCCCACCCTGACACCCTCAGGTTGTTCCTCTCCCCAGCTGTCCCCCCCCCCCCCCCCCCCGCTGCCACCTCCTCCATTTAATGGGTGTAAACATCCTCTGCAGGTCAGGGGGGTGTTCTGGAAGTGCCTTGTACAGTTCCTGCTGCGGTCTGCTGGGGTTTTACTCTTAGTCTGCTCTGACACAGAGCTCATGCATGTGAAAATCTGCACTTACAATAAACTGTGTCTAGAGCTATCCCAAACAAAACATAAAATGGCTGTGAAAATAATGCAGCTTTCCATGCATGAGGCTGGCTTCAACCCAGCACTGGGGACGGTGTTGTGAGAAAAGGACGGTGCTGATACTGGCATAGCTTTTTGTGTGGGAAGCAGAGCAAGGTAGGAGCTGATAAAACTGCATTCACACTCCAAGTAGTACTAGCAAAAATAAAACCCACCTACACTTAGCGCAGGTACAAGACCTCTGCACAGAACCAACTCATAAAAGCTTTTAATTGTGTAAATTGAAGTAATGGTGCTGCTTTGTTCTTGCTACCTTTGACCTGACATGCTAGAAAAGCACAGGGTCTAAAACAGAGCTGACACCATCCCCAAGGCCATGGGGTAAACAAGGAAGTAACCACAAGCAAAAAAAAAAAAAAAAAAAAAAAAAAAAAGCCAGGGCGGAACTTTGTGACAGTAAGCCTGGAGACGAGAATAACCCAGCCGGAAAAGGGTTGAATTGATATTTTCCTTCTGTTTCATATAAAAATAATAGAGCTTGACAATGTTTTTACAGGAGAACTACAGAAGTAAGAGATTATTCAGGATCTTCCTCCACCTAGTGAATAGCTGTGTAACTTATCACGCAAATATATTTATGTGAAAGGGAACGGTTTCTCCTGATCCTCTGCACCAGGCTTTCCTAGTGGCTGAAATAAGCAGGTTGTTTTAACACATTATTACTTAGAACTGGCTTAGATTTTGTAAGCCTTCAGACACCGAGGCCAGCTTTGGGAGTGGAATCCAGCAGATCCTTAAACAGAGCCCTTCCTTCAGCCACAGCATTCCTGGCACATCCTGATAGAGCAGGACGTTGCTGGTAGAGTCTCAGAAAATAACAGCTTTTCCTTGGGTACTTTTTCACCCTGCAAAAAGGCAAAAACATCCAAGCAGGTCAGTTTTAATGACAACACACATCCTTTTACACTTGTTTTACCCAAAGCTGCCCCCTAGCCCTGTATCTCCAGATTGATCGAAGCCAAAGCTATTCCTGTTCTGCTTTTATTTCAGGCTTACCTTCAGGAACCATTCTTTTTCAGAATACACGAGAGCCGGGAGTACTTGGATGGCAGAGCTACAGTTTTCCATTCCTGCTACCTCTCTGCATGGGCAAACACCAGTGAAGAAATGAAGGAGTCAGTGGTTCTGGGCCACTTCGTTTTGCCTCCTGCCTGCCTGCAAGAAGGTGAGGGAGAACATCAGGTGGGTGCTGCGCTCTGTATTCCCCAGTACACACAGGGGTGCCAAGCTGGCATCAATCCTTGGTCCCCTGTGCCCTGAGGGTGGGGGATTTCCTTCTGCTGGGAGCAATTCTTCCTCCCTGAGGCTGAGGAATTAATGCTCCATCTATTATACTGTGTTAGGGAGCAATGCCACTCAGTGAGCTCCTGCACCACTGGGCAGTCTTATTTCGTGCTTTTACGGTCATTTACTTTTGTTCATGGCAGAAATCAGAAGAAAAATTGGTGGCTTTATTTGGGAGCAGATGGATGATTCCCTTGCAGAGCAGGTAAGATGAGAAATACATACTGCAGGAGGTGGTGTAAAAATCAGTTGTAGCAACTGGTTTTCGTCCCGGACCCTCAACCCAAATACAGGATGAAATGTTCTTGCACTTGTGCTGCATGTATCCCTCTCAGTGTGACAACCCAGGGACAAAACACTGGGACATGCACGAGGGATTTTTTCTCTTGCCCATGCAGGCACCCAGTCTGTACATCCTAGGGACTGCCTGTTGCTGAGGTCCGAGTCCAGCCCTTTTGGTGCAGCATTTTCTTTCCCCATGACAATTCCTACTGTGTGCTGTCTTCTTGAAGGGATTTCTCAGTACTTTTGAATCAAAATTCATCATCATCTTTATAACTTTATTGTAAAATATGCTGGAAATCAGAATTTCTAAAACTGCCTCAAGGCAAATGGACTCAGGGCACAATTCTAAACTAAATCTGTGCTGACACCAGCAGAGACCTAATGAAGATCTTCAACCTAATGAAGATCTGCCGGACGAAGCAGAGATGGTGAGAAAAGACTGCAAGCAAGATGTGAGGGAGGATGTACAGAACCTGTCTGAAAGGTATTTCTGGCCTCGATAGTAGGATTTGGATATGTCCTTGCCTTTCAGAAGATATCCAACATGAAGGAAATAACATCTTTCTCCCCTAATACAGCAGTGAAGAAAACCCAGGCTCAAGAGCATCAACCCAGGGGGAATTTTCATACCATGCACTTAAGGAGTACCCAATGAATAACATGGTGACAGGTAACATATAGCATAGGTAGGTTTGTAATAAGTGGAAAATATGCCCAAAAACAGCTGTGGGTGCTGATGAAGCCATACTCACCCCTTAGGATTGCTCTTTCCCCCTTTACTCTTGCTGGACTCAAAAATGGCTACGGGTTTCACCTGAAAGATTGTCATTTTTTGTCAACACTGCTCATTTCTGATGGGAACTGCTTATTGCTCATTGTCCTAATTTGCGTGGCATGTGCAAATATCAGAAGAGGTGCAGCAGTTGTGTCAGGTAAGAAGGTTGAGCTTCCTGGGTGGTAGATCAGAGCTGTTTCCCTAGACATTATCTGACACCAATTTCCAGTCATTAGAAACTTGAGAGCGCAACCAGCCTTTGCTGTAATTCCGAGGGCACAGCTGGAATTGGTCCCCTCCCCTCAGCACTGCTCATTTTCCATAGTTCTAATTTCAGCTGAGAAATGAGAAATTAGGTAGCTCAAAAGCTCCCGAAGTGAGACTGGCACTTTCCATTCCCAGGCTACACCTCTGCTCGTGACATGAAGAAGTACGTCGGAGAGCTACGCGATTTCATTCCTGGCACCTCAGGTTACACAGCATACTGGATTCAAAACGAAATCAAAGTTTACTCTGATGTGAAAACTAAAATGAAAAGAAAATTGTAAGTAGCAGGAGGTTGTTCTCATCAAAAGCTTAACAGAGTGCTGCCAAAATGCTGTCAGCCCGGTACGGCAACTCAGTTCTGTTTAGCAACATCCCATGGTTAGATTCTCTGATGCCTTACTTACTTTTCTGCAGACTGATGGTTATTTTTACTGTCAGTCTGTGTTCTCACCGTGTTTTAGTTAAACAGTGAAGAGATTGGTGGTATTGAGCTGAGAATTCTGTGTTAAATCTCTGTGGTGTTTGAGGGGATTCATAACTTAGCTCTTTGGTTCACCCTGACTACAGCTCAGCATGTTCAGTGTACATTTAAACACCTGGCTACGTTTGTTGTAAACATTTTATTCCTATTTAAATTCCACAGAACACGTAAATATAGACGAATCTCTGAAAGACCAAATCCTTTGCCTTTTTATTTGTATGAAGTACTTAAGAGGGTCATCCTGTGACTGTGTGTTGGAAGAACACGCAGAGCAAAGGAAGTGGCTTCTCATCACAGCCCCTGCCTGTAGGATGCAGTGCCCCACCAGACTGCGTGGCCGCCACCATCACAGTGGGCCTGGGACCCCCAGTACAAACACGGAGCCTTGTGGGCTTGTGTGGGTTTTGAGCACAGGCCCTAAACATCCCCTCAGTAAAACCCACCTCAGTCATGGGTCCGAGTGCTGCAGGTGGTTGTGCCAAGACCCCTCGCCTCACCAGGGGTGCCCAGGGCAGCGTGACCACAGGTTGTGGTGCTGGATGATGCCAACAGCCACGGCAGGGACTTGCAGGTCCTCTGCCTGTGCACAGAGAATGGGAGGAGCCTTGGGGGTGAAGGCCACAGCTCTGCCATGCCTGCTGCACCCTGGGGACATCGTTAGTGGTGGGGTGTCTTGCTGGGGATTTCAGGTCTTGTCTCCACGGGGGAGCTTCCACCCCCAGTGCTCTGCTCAGCCCAATTTGTTCCCCTCATAGAAATAAAATCCGGCTTCTCCCTCTTTCATTTAAGCACTAAAAAGTCACAAATGCGGTTATAAAAGGCAACTTTTATTCTGGCACAGCACGGCCCTGACAGCTACCCACTCACAAGCAGCACAGCACAAAGCTGGGAGGTGCTGATGGCGAGGACACACCACGCTCGCCCTCTCCTGGCTGTGCGCCACCATCCTGAGAGCAGCAAGCACGCATGCCTGCAGGAAAACCTGTAAAATAACAGCTTTGCACCTCATGCCCAAGGAAAGACCCCCAAAAGGCACTCACAAATGTGAAGGTGTCAAGTCCTCTTCACACAGTGAAGCCTCAGATGTGATACCCCGAGAGAAACTGCCCTCCCCTCCTCACCCCTGCGCGCACAGGCTTCGAAAGACCAAGCAGTCCGAGTTGGTTTCCCACGTTTATTGGAAAAGTGACATAACAGCGACCGCCTCAGAGAGCTCCTCGGGGTGTTTTGAAGTTCATCCCCACCGTGGGCTGCGTGACCTGCAGGTTGGACAGGCTGCCGAAGTCCTGGAAAAGAGACCGGGGTCAGTCACCGCGCTGCCGGCCCTAACCCTGCTGAGGGAGGAGGCAAATCCCTCCTAGTGACACCAGGCAAATAAATCCCTCCCAGCGAGTACGGCTCAAGCTACTCACCAGAAGCTTCAGCATTTCCTTGGTGTCTGGGTCCACTTCGATGATCTCCTGATCGAGGGCAGAGACCTGGGGACAGAAGCGAGGCAGTGGTTGGGCAGTGCTGCGTGGCCCAGCAAGGAAGCCCCAGGGGCCAAGTCCTGTGCTGCCACCACGACGTCCCCACCCAGCACGGCCCAGCAGCATCCTCCTCGTGAGCCCTGCTGACCAGCACGGTGAGCAGCTCCAGTGCCCTCACCGGGATGAGCCAGGAGGAGCCCCGACCAAAACACCGTGGAACCATCTCAGTTCCACTCTCCAGAACCCAAACCTTGGCCTCTGTGTGCCTCCTTCCACAGAAGGCTACGTTACACCGGTACCTTGCTATGAAACAATGAGTAACCCACGTTCAGCTCCCACAGCTACAGCACCAACGCTCCTTCGCTGCTCAGGAAGAGCTGAGCTTCAGGGTGACTTCTTCCACCAGCACCACCCCACCCGGCCTTTGAAAGGCAGCAGGTGTAAAACACCCCCGCTGTTTCCCCCAGAGCTCTGCTATCTGCAGGGAGCTGCAGGAGGCAGCTCTGCAGGTCAGCACAGCTCTGGTCACACCTGAAATTTGGGGGACGTGAGAGCATGTGGAGCTGCTGGTATTTCCTGAGTCATTTCTGGATGCCAGGAGTGAGGAGTCACACCAAGCTGTGGCACCGGGCTCATCACCCCACCTGGGGCTACAGAACTACCTGTTCTTCCCCAACCCAGACTTTGAACATCAATAAAATCAACCTTCCACATAACCAACCCCTGCACCGATTTTGGAGGGCTGAAGAGCAGAGATAATGGTCAGACTGACCACTTCTTGCACAGCACGGAAGGCAACAGCACTACAAGCAGCTGAGTAAGGAGATGTGGAAGAGCAGCGAGGAGCGGCTTGTCCGAATGCTACAGGGTTTGGGAGGGACAGGAGCAAACCCACCAAACACGGGAAACGCTTTCAGGATTCCTCTCCCTGCACTATCAATGACCAGGCCACGCACCAGACCTTGATCACTTTCGAATGCAGGTTCAGGAAAAGGGACCGGGGCGGGCACTTCTGCGCGAGGACCACCAGAGCTACGTGTAGGCAACGCGCCGCCCGCACGGAGCTCGGGGTCCTGGTGGTGCCTCTCCACCAACCGGGTTTTTACCAACCGCCTCTGGGATTTTACCAACCACCTCTCTTTAGCGACATCTACTGCACAGCCGGCTTTAGGCCGCTCTGAAACATTTTTCTGTGTCACGTTATTTCTTTCCTCATTTAAAGCGAGGAAAATGGAGGATGGGTACCACCTTCTGACCAGCAGCAGAGCTGAAACGCAGGAAGTCAGCTGCTCTTCTCATCCCACGCCACTGAGTTTTTGAGGGAAAGCCCTCAGACAGGAGCCCAGAATCTGCTCCAGCTCTCCTCCTTTGACCCAAGCCCTCCTCAGTTCCTCCTCAACGATGTTTAAAGACTTTTGGGGCCAGTAACAAGAAAACACTGCATCTGGGTGCTCTTCAGCACCCCTGTGATAGAAGGCACCCCAAGCAGGATGGGCAGGCCCCACAGTCTCTGTGTGGGAAGACGGCCGTGAGCTCACCTCTGGGACGTAGTTGTCCCTCCTCTCCCTCTCCTCCTCCTGGAGTTTGATGGAGATGCCTCTGACGGGGCCCCTCTGGATCCGCTTCATCAGGTGGGTGACATACCTGCGGGACACGGGGCTGCCAGGGGGACACACCACGCACCGCGGGGGCCTCGGCACCTCCGAGAGCACCGGGCACGGGGGAAGCGAGGGAAAACGTGCAGGAAAAAGGAAAATAGATAGGGAAAAGGGGAGAACGTGCAGGAAAAAGGGAAAATATATAGGAAAAAGGTGTAGGGGAAGGGAAAGCATATAGAAAAAAGGGGAAAACGTGTAGGAAAAGGGAAAACATGAAGGAAAAGAAGGAAAGCATATAGGAAAAAGGGAAAACATGCAGGAAAAAGGAGAGTGTGTGAGAAAAATGGGAAATGTATAGGGAAAACGGGAAAACATGTAGGAAAAAGGAAAACGTGTAGAAAAAAAGGAAAGCATATAGGAAGAAGGGGAAAACGCGCCGGAGCAGCCTCACCCCGCGATCTTGTTGCGCAGCTTCTTGCTGGGGATGATGGCGATCTCCTCGCACACCCGCTTGTTGGTGTGGAAGTCGTTGCCCAGCCGCGTGTAGTACTTCTCGATGATGACCCGCGCCGCCTTCTTCACCGTCTTCGTCCTAACGCGTCCCTAGGGGGGGGGAGGCACCGCTCGCTGCCGCCGCAGGCCCCGCTCCCCCACCACCACCCCCCGCCCGCTCCCCCCGGGGGTCCCGCTGCTTCCACCCCGCTCCCCGCAGCTCCCCGGGGCCGGCCGAGGGCAGCGGGGCCGCGGATGGCGGCGGATGGAGGAGGATTGGGGCGGATGGGGCCGGCACTCACCATGTCGGCGGCGGCCGCGCAGAGAGAGAGAGGGCGCAGGGGAGGGCGGGAGGTGCCTGGGGACGCCGGGAGCGGGCGGCGCCCACAGCGCCCCCTGGCGGCCCGGAGGAGCTGGGCGGAGCGTTCAGTAAAGGGGAGTGGCTTGGGGGTGTGGCCACGCCCCCAGGGCTCCCCCGGGTCCCCACGCCCGCCCCAGCGCCTCCCCTGTGTCCCCTCTCACCTCGCCCCCCAGGGAGCCCACCCCACTCTTCACCCCAAAACACTTCGTTGCCCCTGGTCACAGCCCTGCTGTGTCCCCCCCCCAAGCCCCTCAGGTGACAGCTCACCCATCCCCAAGCAGCAAAGAGGATGCGCACAAGATTCATTATTTTTTTTGCTGCAACGTGTTTATTATGTGCCAAAAACTACACCACAGCTTACTCCACGCATCTGTAGGAGAGTGCAGTCTTGCCTGCATATACTACAATGAGGTAGAGACTTCACACACAGCTTCACGAAAACCCACAAAGAGCAGCTGGGATATGCAACAATGCAACATCAGCTCAGCAGGAAAGAGGGAGAAATTATGACACTGGTTCTTTGGCACACAGCTTCCGATAGAGGGGAAAGTAAAAAAAAAAAATAACTATAAAGTTCTCAAATCCCAGCAGCATTTCAGTCGACTGCACCGTTACTTCATACATTTCTTAAACAAAAGGAAAAGTACTTGTCCCCTCTAAGAGAAAGGGCTCCTATGAACCTTCATCTGTCCACCGAAACGCAGCCCTTTTTTAGCTAGTTACAAAAGAAAAGTAAGTCCTGTGACTTTGTGATTAAAAACCTCTATCAACCCCCCTTAAGTGCAACTTAAAAAAGTGCAACAAACTATTTAAAACTATATACAGCAGCTCAGAGATCGTTTATCCGGTCCAGTTTCAAATCCAAAAATCCTGTCCTGTTCTGTTGCAAACACCTCGATTTACAACTTTCCACCAGCAGCCCCCAGACACAAATTGCAATAATGTTAAAAGCTGCCAGGAAAGAAAAATCTCTCGTTTCAAACGACTTAAAAACTGTTTAAGAGTGTAAAAAGGAACTGGTAAAAACCCTCGAGCGTAAAATATGAAATATGATTTGGTTTAAATGAAGAGCAAAGTCTCCTTGTTGTTACAGTAAAAAACGCCAGCTGAACATTCAGTTTATGCCGTTCAGATGGGGGTTAAATGAATGGAAAGGCACTGTATGGCAACTGCAAAAAAATGGAGCCAATGAGACCTGCATTATTACCATCAGTATTGCAAGGAATGTAAAAAAGCGCCTTTAATAAATAAAAAACCTAGGTGAAGGCATC